TTGGGGCCCCTGCCCCTCGCCACTGTGCAGTGATTGTCTGAAGACTGCAGATAGATGCAGTGTAGAGGCCCCCACAGAGCAATCCGAGAAATGTTAAAGAGAGAAAAGCCAGCGGGCACGGTGCCTTACCTCCCTGATGGCACTTTGGAAGGCTGAGGCGAGAGTATCGCAGGAGCTCAAGACCAGCTTGGGCAACATAGTGAGACTCCGTCTCTAAAAAATACAAAGTTAGCTGGGCATGATGGTGCCCTCCTGTAGTCCCAGCAACCCAGGAGGCTGAGGTGGGAGGACTGCTTGAGCCCGGGAGGTTGAGGCTACAGTGAGCTGAGATCACACCACTGCACTCCAGCCTGGGCGATAGAGTGAGATCTTGTCTCCAAAAAAAAGAAAAGCTCAAATGAGTGAGCTTACAGGAAGGTGGTGAGACATGAGGAGTATACTAGAACTCGGATGATCACACAAGGAGTATTTGAACTGAGCCACCTCTGGGCAGCATTGAACATGAAAGGATTGTGAGTGCAGCTTTCATTAAGTTGGACTCCTTAGTCACATCTCAAAGGTAATAATAAATGCCATTTCTGTTTTGACTCAGAGTTAGTTATATTTAGTAAATTTAGTAAATTCTGGGTCTCATCCTACAAACGGCTTGCTTTCCTATGACTTTGTCTCATAGTAATATAAATCTCCCTTTTCCTTTTTTTCTTTTAGGAAAAATATAAACGAGCTTTGGCAGACACTGAGAACCTGCGGCAGAGGAGCCAAAAATTGGTGGAGGAGGCAAAACTATACGGTACTGTAAACACAGCGTGGTGTGGGTTCTGGAACAGAGGCCATCGGGGCGGGGGTGCCGTGCATGTGGCAGTGTCAGAGAGCCAGGCTGTGGGGCGGGCCCAGCACTGGCAGCCCCTGCATGAAGGATTGTGACTAGCATGTCCACGCCACACAGAGACCTCAGTGGGAGCCTGCAGCAGGCCGGCCCCTGATGCCCTCCGGAGGCAACACTGGCATCACTTTAGAACTCCCACATGCTGTATGCATTGCCACCTTTGGATATTTTTGTTACTGTCGTTCCCATTTTACAGTTGAGATCACTGAGGGTTAGTGATCTGCCACACATCACAAAGCTGGTAAATAACCCAGGCTCCCAACTCCACAGGCTGGTGTTTGAGCACTGGCCGTGGGTCTCTGCATGACTGACAGTTGGTGTTAGGGATGCAGAACCTAACTCAAGGGAGGGTCAGTGGTTTGCCCCAGGCCAGACAGGGTGAGAGGCCACGTGAAAACAGAGCCAGAGTCACTGCGCATGCAGAGGCTGAAGCGCTCCCTGAAACAGTTTTTCCTGGATGCTGTGGCCTGTTTCTTGCTATTATGCCTCTCTTTATGGTAATATGCTTTGTTGGCTCTTAACCTTTCTGACCTGTAAATGTCTAGGCTCTTGGGGACTCAGTACCAGGCCTCTCCCCCGCTGCTGTGGCCCCTGAGTAACTTGCATACTCCCGTGGGCTTCGTGGCATCCACACACAGGTCTCGCTTCTGGCGCAGATCCTCCACGTTCCAGTCCTCCGTGTCTTACTGCTTACTTGACATCTGGGCCTGAATGTCTCAAGGGTATTTTCCCCTCTGCTGCGCTCCTTTCTTCATGTTTTAGTAAATTCTAGGTCTCATCCCATAAATAACTTTGGGGTTTTGTGGTGGTGTTTCTGAAAATTACCAAACTATTGGAATTCTGAGGCGACTGATTTGACAAGTTATTAAATTGCCTACCCATCAGGTCAGCAGTGCTCACAGTTTGGAACTGCCTGGTGCATTGGTATGGAGTGCAAATGATCTCCTTTCACTTCATCCAGGCATTCAGGCTTTCTGCAAGGACTTGTTGGAGGTGGCGGACGTTCTGGAGAAGGCAACGCAGTGTGTTCCAAAAGAAGAAATTAAGGACGATAACCCTCACCTGAAGAACCTCTATGAGGGGCTGGTCATGACTGAAGTCCAGATCCAGAAGGTGTTCACCAAGCATGGCTTGCTCAAGCTGAACCCTGTCGGAGCCAAGTTCGACCCTTACGAACATGAGGCCTTGTTCCACACGCCGGTAGAGGGGAAGGAGCCGGGCACAGTGGCCCTAGTTAGCAAGGTGGGGTACAAGCTGCACGGGCGCACTCTGAGACCCGCCCTGGTGGGGGTGGTGAAGGAGGCTTAGCGGCCATTGATGGGGTGGGCGTTTTTAACGCTGTAACTCCCAAGGCTGCGTCATTGTTTTTCATCTATGAGCACGTTTGACCTTTTCCCAAACCTTGTTGGAAAGTGAAGTAACTAGTGGCTAAACAGAAAATGAAGCCGGTTGCACAGTTGCGTTACTGAACCCTGATTGTTAGTGCCACACGTTGACTATTTCCACAGACTTTGTGAAGAGCTCAGTGGGCCCCGCCGGGTGTCCGGAGCATCATGAGTAACGTGTCTGCCCAGACTCTCCTGACACCAAAGTATTTTAAATAAATAAAAATCTTAGGGAATTTCGTTTGGCTGCCTGGACGCGCCAGTCTACACTGACTGTTCCCAGAGCTCCCTGCGGTGCGTGAGTGACTTGGCATACTTAGCCCATTGTACATTTCATACATTAAAGGGAAGGCAAGAGTTGAAACCTTTTTCTTACTTTAAAAAAAGTATGATCTTTGTGAAGAGCTGAGTTCGTTTGTCATCAGTCAACAGCTGACTGAAACTGACCACTGAGAAATGTGTGTGGGCACTGACAATCCTCAGCACCTTTCTTTGGCCAGGAACTGAGCTTGGCCAAGTTCATTTTACCCTGTTTTGTTCACCTCAATGCAGACACATTTAAATCATATCCACCTAGTTACTAACGACCTCAAGGTGTATTTCCTGGCAAAATGGACTTTCTCAAAATAGAACTGCACACTTGGTGTACTTTAAATGTTGATGTTTAATTTAAAATTTTTATTTAAAAGGATTAAAGCCCTAATGTTTATTTTCCTACTTTCTGATAACAATTTTGTGTCCTCTGGTGGAGATCCTTACCGTTGAGGCAGGCATGACTTACCCTTCCATTCTCTGCTCCAGCTCCGAAGCTGTCAGCTTGACGCATGCATGCACACACGCATACACACATGCATATGCTTCTACACGGAAACGGAGAGCCAGACTCCCCCGGTGAATGTGAAACACCCAGGAGCCACAGCAAGGGCACAGGACTTGCAAAAGTGATCTGAGGACTTGCCAGAGGACTCGCTGTCTTCCTCATTTACGTGGTCATCTAGGGCTTAGAACAAGGCTGATCGGATTCTCTTGTGAACGAGAGAAAAGCTAACCTTTTGCTGCGTTTGCTTCTAGGAGAGGTGCTTCTAGAATTGAAGATACTGATGAAAGCCATTTACTCCATAGAAAAGATGGGGCAGAGTTTATTTCACTTCTGATTTTAAAAGGTGCAGGTAATGGTCCCATAATATTTCAACTTGGGACACCATTCCCAAACGCTTTCCTCCATTAAGATACCTTAATTTGGTCAGAAACAACCGAAGGCAGCATAGTGTATTGGAGAAAACGTGACTGGGAGCTCCAGCGCTGCCTGTTCTCGCCGTGCTGTTGTGAGTGTGTCATTGCCCTGCGGAAACGAAGGCTAGGAAACGTAATTAATTTTATGACTGTTTGCAGTTTCCTCCCTTTTCAGCTACAACTGCAATTGCTAAAAAGCACTTGACATAAAACCTAGAGGCAATATTGCTTAAGGTGGCAGAACATTTTTTTACACTGAGTTTCAGTCATCCACAGTCAACACTATAGGTTGGGTATCATCTGAAATGCTGAGAACCAGAAGTGTCTCAAATTTAGGGGTTTTTTTTCCTTCAGATTTTGGAATATAGCTGAGCATGGCTTAACCACAGGGATGTGTTCTGAGAAATGTGTCATCAGGCAGGTTCTTCCTGCGAACACCACGAGTACCTAAAAAACAAACACAGGTGGTGTCGTCTGCTCCACACCTAAGCTGTAGGGCACAGCCTGCAGAGCATGTTATTGGACTGATACCGTCGGGAACTGTTGACACAGTGATACCTGTGTATCTGAACATGCCCCAACATAGAAAAGGCACAGTGAAAGTAAGAGTTCTGATGTGCAGTCCCTCATTGACTGAAACCAGATTCCCTGCTTGACTATTTGATTATACTTACCAGTTAAGTGTCCCCAATCCCAAAATCCAAAATGCTCTAGGCCGGGCATCGTGGGTCACGCCTGTAATCCCAGCACTTTCAGAGGCCAAGGTGGGCGGATCACCTAAGATCAGGAGACCAGCCTGACCAACGCAGAGAAACCCTGTCTCTACTAAAAATACAAAAAAATTAGCAGGGCGTGGTGGTACGTGCCTGTAATCCCAGCTACTTGGGAGGCTGAGGCAGGAGAATCACTTGAACCCGGGAGGCGGAGGTTGCACCATTCATTGCACTCCAGCCTGGACAACAAGAGCAAAACTCTTAAAAAAAAAAAAAAAAATGCTCTAAATGAGCATCTTGAATGTCATGGCAGTGTTCAAAGTTTCAGATTTTGCAGCACTTCAAATTCCTACTCAACCTGTAACAGGAAAATGTCTTTTAATTAAATACATATTTGCAGTAGACATTGAAGTAGTTACTGGCCTTAGCATAGCTGCAGCATGGGTCAGGTGTATGTGTGGACAGTCAAAACCAGGACTGGAGCTCTCAGGCATATGGAAGCCAGCCTGGCTCCCTGAAAGACTCAGACTCACTTCGCTTTCTCTGGCTGTTCTGCTGCTTTGAAGGAGGAGAGCAGCTGGCATGAAAGGGTTTTTGCTTAAGAGAAAGCAACTTTATAATTTTCTGGAGGAAAAACTCCTTTGATACAAAGTACCAAACTGAAGTATGTCACGTGACAGTCTGTATCTGTGTTTGAACTGTGGCTCACCCCCAAGTCTGTGTGGCTTTGAGAAGACACCAAAGAGGTTCCAAATGAGAGGTAAGAAGCAAACAGTGACACACTTTTGTTCTCAACTTGTTTAATATGGAAAAGGGTAATCAAAATGGTGTTGCTGTTTTTAATACATTCTTGGAATGTTGGCCATTCAGACAGCAATGAAGAGTTATCCAGCTTTTTTGACTCAAAGATCGTTTGCTTAGATTTTAACAAGACCTAATTCCATGGGATTATGGTAGCTGATTTATCATGAGAATCAAATATAAATGTGGAGGCTCTGAGCTGCCGACAGAGGTTAGGACCTAAGGACTACTGTGACGGGAACAGTCGATGGGCTAAGCAGCAGCCAATCACATGACCATTCCCTTGGAACAAAGGGTTAATACTTTAACATAAATTAATTATACATTCATATGGTGTTTTAAAACAGTCAAGCCTAAATAAATTCTTCATACCATCAAAAAGATATACATACTAGAAACCTGCTTCAGCAGTTTTTCATTTGACAGCTCTTGGCCTGGGCCATACACATTGACAGGGATCATCTGCTGCTTCAAGCTTCATATAAGTCTGGCAATCATTTAATATAAAAATAAGACTAAATTTAAAACCTCACCAAACTAGGATCCTGGTGTTGTAGAAAATCAGGGAGATACCAGAATAGCTAAAACCCATGGTTCTCAAGCGAGCTTATATCCAGTCACCTGGAGGGCTTGTGAAAACAGCTTGCTTGCACCCCAGTTTGATTCAGAAGGCCAGGTGGGGCCTGCATGTCTGCATTTCTAGCAAGTTCCTAGGGGCTGCTGCTGCTGGGCCAGGAACCCCCCTTTGAGAACCAGTGGAGCTAAGACAACTGTAAAAACAGCACCATCTCCAACACTGTTCAGTGGTAGACAACATGAGTTTCTGTCATCTGCATTTATTCTGCAGGGGACAATGTGGAGGTGGCCCTCATGATACCACTGCTCAGTACTTTATTGTGAAAAGAGAAGTTCTGGGCTTAGCTAAAAGGGAGCACTTCTCTGTCGGCATGCAATATACTTTACAACTAAAGCCATGTACAATATATTTGAAATGTTTTAGTTAATGCTGAAAATTTTACCCTAAGGGACCGAAGGATGTAAAAAGAAAGGAAAAGGCACAATAATTAAGTCATCCTTAGAAATGATGAGGTTTTCTTTCTTTCAAATAACTTCACTTTAATGTAAATTCAAGCCCAAACATTCTGGGAGGTAAACGGTCTCCTGGTACCTACAGGGCCCGAGAGGCAAGTGAACCTCCTGGAAGAGTTGAGTGCTGGAGTCTGGGCACCCCACATTTAAAGCAGGGTCTTGGACCGGAGAACCCTGAGCAGCCGGAAGACGAAAGACTTCCTCAAGGTTCAGGTGGAAGGTACCGTGGACATCCTTGAAAGAGGGCCCCAGAGAAAATCTTGTAGGCAGGGCTGGGAAGAAGCCATTTCTGAGTGTGATTCAAGACAGTGAACAGAGAGCAGCTCAAGGCTCGGGGGAACCACCTGGGTTCCCTCGTGCTCCACCAGAACTGCCACCAGCCAACTGGTCAGATGGCTCTGGCATGGGCCTGGCAACACTCTTAAAGATGCTTAGCTGGGAGGGCGTGCTCATATTTTCAGTGGAAAGGTACTTGCAACTGAAGAAAATCCTGAGGAAGCTGACACCAGAATCCAGAACTCTTAGCTTTGAACTTTTTACAATGGGTTCTTCCAAGTGAAATGCGCTGCACGTCTGAAAGCAGCAATGACCAGCCGTGAAAATGGGTTGAGAGGTCCTGGCGGTCCACGTGTCCTGCGCACCTCCCGCTAACGTGCTTTCCCAAGCCCGCCCGAGGCCCACGGCTCTATCCAAAGTGAACCAGCAGGTTCTGGCCATACTCAAAGGAGGCGCAGGGTCAGCTTTGGGATTTGGCAACTGCACGCTCAACCTGCTGCCACCAGTAGTCAAGTGGTCATGTGGTCGCTGTGTTCAACCAACAGATTCCTCTTCGGTTCCCAAGGCAACGCCAGCCTGTTGTCCTCTGGCCTGATGTTCCTCATCTGCTACACAGCAGGAGTCTGGGCTCAAGCTGCCCCCATGTAAAGTGCCGTGTGCCCGGGGCTGCACTGGGGTCAGCTGTGGGCAGCATGGGCTCAGAAAAGGGGAGCCTGCAGGCAGCCCCACCTGAGAAGAGCTTGTGTCACCAGGAGATCACTGATGGCTTGTCGGTCCAGCAGGAAAACACTGCCCCTGTACCCCACAATAGCTTTTGTACCCAAAGGGAAGAACACTCACAAAATAAAAGGAAGTTCTCCAATCTCAAAATAAGCTCCAAACTGAACAGGTAAAGGCTGAGCATCCGCTCAGTGTGTGACTTGCAGGACTAAGTTAAAATGGACACATTTGCTTCCCCCATGATCCGGTATAAGACTGTTACTATTGCTTCTTTCAGAGGACCATGAAAAGAATTTATATCTTAAAAAAGGAACTCAATTTGTTTAAAAAAGAGCAACAAGTCCCCTCCCCCAAGTCATTTTGGCTGGCGCGCTGTCTGGGCATCACGGACTTTCAAAGCATCTCAGCTTCAAGACGCATCCCTGGAGATCCATCCGCTTTCTGTGAGGAAATTCAAAATCCTTTTCTTTAGGACTTTGTCAAGGTAGCTAGGAAGGCGGCTTTTGGAGGGGATTCCCTGCCGCTTCTGGAGGTGGTCTTTAATTATAATAGTCTTCACAGTCACGTAGCGGGCTGGACTCAAGTTTAAAGAGCTGCAGAGCACCTTCTCACGATCCGACAGGAGCTCGAAGCCCGGAAGGTTCTCGATGGCCGCGAACTCGCCGTCTTTGCTGTCCTCCTTTCCCCGCTTGGAGCCCGCTAGGTTCTTGTTCTCCTTCCTCTTCTCCCGTTTGTGCCGCGCGGCCTCGTACTCTGCCGACTCTTCCATCTTGGTGATGCCGTTTCGCCGGTACCGCTGCAGCTCTCGGATCTTGGCCCTGAGCATTTTTTCTTTGTGCATGTTTTCAAATAGGTCATCAAACTCCTTGCATGACATGAACTGGTACAGAGGCCTTAGCTTCAGGCGCAGCTCCTTCTCCTCCTTGGTGATCTTGCGCTTCAGTGCCTTTTCCTTCTCCTTCTTGTCCTTCCCCAGGAAGGCTGGCACCAGATTGTAGTCACGAGCAATGTTCTTCCGCCGCTGTCTCTCTTTCAGTTTCCGCACGTACATGTCCACGTGCGCGCGCTTCAGCTCGATCTCCACATCGTCGTCGTCATAGTTGACCGAGAGCCCACTGATGAGCGTCTCAGCATCCTGGTCATACTCAATCTCGTAGTCGTCCCGCAGGGGCATGTAGCCCAGCTGCTGCTGCTCAGCCACGGAGATGTCCAGTGGGGGCAGCGGGGTGGTGAGGCTGGGTGAGAGGGGGCCCCCACTGGGACAGGTGTGATCTGTCACGCGGTTAGGGATGGTGTCTGGGATGCAGGCCTTCCCCAGGTTCCCATGGATGTACATGCTCACGTAATGCTCCATCACCTCTTGGGGAGTCCTCGAAGCACCGACGTGGGCAGCCATATCTTCCTACGATGACAAAGGGCAGAGTTACTTCCAACATCAGAGTGGGAGATTTGGGTTCTGCACAGATTCTCTTAACGATTTTACAAAGGTTGACCTACAGCACTTCCTACAGCACTGTTACCCACCCTCCCCAAAGGCACTCAGTCACTCTCTCTCTCGTGAGCTGGCCTCGGGAGAGATGAGGTGTTGGAAGCAACAGCAGTGATTTTGTACATGAAGTAGTGAAGACCCAGAGAAGTGTAAGCTCTTGGGGTGAGCTGCTGGCAGAGCTGAGGCCAGAACCCCTGGCTAAGGTCGGGACTTTGTTCTCGTTCCCCACCTGGGACAAGAGGAGCCCCCCTGGTACTGCCATTTGCCCCCCCATAAAACCTGCACTCTCGGGGGCTATCTGAACACCGCAGGACACAGGTGGGCAGGCCAGGGAATGCCTGCACCAGCCTCATTCAGACTAGAAAACGGGCTTGTCCCAGGGTGCGAGGACAGGCCGAGTCCAGGGCAAGGGTGCTGTCTGCAGGAGGGGACCCCATTCTACCATGTTGCCACCTCCTGAAATAGAAAGGGCCAGGACACATCTGTGACACTTGTCCTGGCCACACACCCGTCCTGGCCTTCATGACAGGGGGCTAGCGTGGCCCTTTCCCAGGCAGTGACTGCAGGTGATGGGCACGGCTCTTCAAAGGGGCAGGCCTTCATTTTAGCACCTTCCATGGTTAAGCAGCTGGCCAGGAGTCTGCCACCGGCTGAAAGCATTCATCATTCTACAAGAGGGCAACCCATAAATATAAGGTTTAATGGGAGGAAACTGTGTAACTCCCTCAATCTTTCCCTTCTGCTGAGAGGCCTCTTCCTCAGTCAACCGCTAAAGCCACTTCAGAAAGTAACTGCCCAAAATGCGCACTCATTCCCTGGCCACCGCCTCTCAGCCACCCAGCCCCCACCTGCGCCTCCCTCTGCCCGCCAGCGTGTGGGACCAGTGCTGTAGCTCTGCCTGCAGCACCGCCAAAGGCCCAGCTGGGACCGGAGAGACCCGCCAGCCCACCCAAGCTGATGACTGACTAGGAGCTGGCATCTGGGAGAGAAGCGCTCTGGGCTCCAGGAATGGATCCCACAGCTGGGGCTTCCTTTGGCACACAGGCCCGGAGCCAAGGTGCTGGGACCCCCCCATCCCTCACCACCTGCCACCTTGGGGCCAGGGATCCCCAGGACTGGGACTACCGAAGGCAGGGCCAAAACCCAACTGCGGGGCATCTGAGAATCTTAAAAGGGATGAGAGCTAAAAGTTGGAAAAAAAAAAAAAAAAAAAGATCTGGTGTATGGGGACAATGACTGCTGCTTTTAGAAACAACACTATTTACAGCAAATCTGTTCATTTTATTTCCTCTGCAAACATTTGGCCTAAAACGCAATACCAAATCACAACTGTCTCCAGCATTTACCGCCACTCTGTGACCTAGGCTAGTCACTGCCGATCTCTGAGCCTCGGGCCTGTCGCTGCCAGCAGAGGAGACACATGCAGCCCCACACACCTCACATGGGTGGGAAAAGGCTTCAGGCCTGGAGTGGGCCCCACATAGCAAGCCGAGTCCCCTCTCGTGGAGCAGCTGGGTCAGAGGCCACCAGGAGCTCATATTCTTCCCCACCCCACCTAGGGGCCAGGGAACCCCAGGATCTGCACTGGCCTCTGAGACAGGTAACTACAGGCCATTATCTACCTAATGGAAAAACAGTCCCTGACACCCACCCTTTAGGAAGGAAAGGGTCCTGTTGGGTGGAAACCGAGGATGAACATCCCGGGGTGCCCGAAGTGTGGGAAAGGCCACCCCAGCACCTCATGTCTGTGCTTCCCCGCCACGGGCGGGCAGCAAGGGCAGAGTCAGCCTTGGCCTGTGCGCCTCTCCCGCCCTCAGCACCAGCTTCTGTCCGAGGCTGCAGAGGGGCTGCTGCATACACACCCGGTTCAGAGGCCAGTACCCAGGTGCCTCCAACGGGTGCTGCACTAGGTTCCCAGGCACGTGAGGCTAGGTGTCCACCTTGTCCCAGAGGCTCTGTGCTGCCAGGTTGCTTACCCAAGGCTACAAGGTGAGTCACTGGGGACCCCTGGCATTGGCCCTCGTCTCTCAAGCCAGTGAGACTAGCAGGGAGAGGCCTGCAAGACTTCTCACTTGTAGAGATTTTTAAAAAATATACTTACCTGGCAAATGTTCAAGCTAGCAACACCAGGTCAGCCTCCAAAATCCTTCCAAAATCTGGAAGTCTGGGAGCACGAAGCAGCCAGCATCAGCCAGACTCAGTGCACCCTGCAGGGTCTACAGCTCTGTCCTTGGCCCCTGCCTCGCACCTCTCAGGAGCTTCCCAGGGCCCCGCGAGACACTGCAGGCCTAGCAGCACCCACCCTGCTGGAAGTGCCCTTCACTCCTAGTGCCCAGGCTCAGGGCCAGGGCCCACCTGGTAGGGCGGTGAGGAGGCAGGTGCGGCCACAGCACGCCCTCCACCTCGGCAGCTTTCCCTAGTGCTGGACACCGCCCGCTTCCCTCCCGCAGCTCCCGTTTATCCCTCAAGAAGCCTCCAGTGACCCCCAGGGCTGGGCTCAAATCTGTTCCATCACTTGCTATCCTCTCAGCTTGTTTCCTCACCTACCAGCCCATCTATTGCAGGTTTTGCCAATGAAATTTAAAACTACAGCAGACAAGTGCATCTACACCCGTCATTCCAAGTCCTCAAGTCATTTCCCATGGGGGAGGAGTGTTGTTACAGCCTTTGGTTTTCAGATAAGGAAAGTAAACCTGCTGGTGAGCCCCTGCCAAGGGCCCGAAGCCAGTGAATGCTGAGCCACTTCAACGCCAGGCAGTGTGGCCAGGAGCCCGCGCCCGTCACCACACGCCCCCACCGTCTCACAATGCAGCGCACACCAGGAGGGGGTCCTAGATGCTTCCTGATGCCGTGATAAGAGGCAGAGCAAAGCCGGACCATTGGGCTTCTGCTCTTCTTTCTGTAACAACCATGTTTGAGAGGTTGGGGTCAGGCCACAGCTGGGCTGACCATGCCCGGCGATGTGCAGTGAAGCACAGGTCTTTCACGCAGCCAGCACTATGCCTGAGGCTCCCTGCAGGCTTCAGGGAGCATCTCCTGTCCTGGTCGATGCTGCAAAGCCCTGTGACCCTGCTGTCCCTCGGTGGCCCCAATGCTGTCCTTTCCTAAACCCTTTGGACTGTGAAGGACGAGGCAGAGGACAGCTCATCCCGGCCCCGGGCTGGGCTTCTTCCCCTGGTGGTCTGGGGCCAGGCGTTGGGATGGAGGCGTGTGCTACATCTCCAAAGGGAGGCCTAGCTCCAGCTCCTTTTTCTTCAAATGAAGAAGCCTCAAAAAGCCAGGAAGCCGGGAAGGCCCAGTTCCCCAGGGACCTGGGTGTAAGGGAGGGGATCCCGCCAGAGAAGGGCATTCTGTGGGCAGAGACCTTAACGAGCAGCTGGACACACTGGGTTGCCCCTGCAGGGCCAGGAGGAAACAAAATCCGTGGGGCAGGGGACTGGACTATGTCCTAAAGGACAGGGGGGAACCACCGGCCCCATAGACAGAGCAAGGTAAGAAACACATTAGCCGCAGGCCACAGACAGCAGCATTTCCCATCTGCACAGGTCAGAGAGCCCTGACAAGTCGCCTGCCTGGCCGTCACCTGCCACCCAGGCCACCAGCCCCTCTTAGGAGCTCCAAGTCCTGCCTCCATGTCCCATGGGCTCCCGGCTGACTAGGCTGTCCTCATCACCTCCCAGAGCCAAGTCACTCCAGCACCTCCAGTCTCTCAGCCTCAGACACTGGGTCAACTACGGCCACCTGCAGCTGGCGACAGGACAGAGTGGCAAGGCAGGCATGAACGCCAACAGCCCTTGGGGCTGGCACACCAGCTCAGTCATGGCCATGCGGCGGCCCCAGCTCTTCCCTCTTCCAGCCTTGTCTGTCACCTTTAAAGAGCTGACTTGAGGACACCGAGCCACCCTGTCTCCTCCCAGCTCAGCAGGCATGTACCTCTGATCCCAGAGGCTGGGGACTCATTGGCTTTGCAGCCCACACTGTCCCTGGCCACTGCCCCCAGCCTTTTCCAATGGGAAGCCCTGTAAGCCTCAGTTCTAGGTCTCTGAACTCAGACCTTAGTGACTTATACTTGTCATTGGCCCTCAAGGTGACTGACACCTTCAGGTCAGGTAAGGTTACCTGTGACAGAGAATTAAAAAGTGGCATTCTCACTGTGGAAAACAGCATGGCGGTTCCTCAAAAATCACAAAGCCAGGTGCAAGGGCTCTGCCTAATCCCAGGACTTTGAGGGGGCTGAGGCAGGAGGTTCCATTGAGCTCAGAAGTTCAAGACCAGCCTGGACAACACGGCAAGACGCTGTCTCTACAAATAATTTAAAAATTAGGCAGCTGATGTGCCTGTAACCCCAACTACTTGAGAGGCTGAGGTCGGAGGATCACTTGAGCCCAGGTCAAGACTGCAGTGAGCCATGACTGTGCCACTGCACTCCAGCCTGGGTGACAGAGTGAAACCCTGTCTTTAAAAAAAAAAAAAAATTACACACAGAACCTAATCTAGCAATTCCACTTTTATTTACCCAGAAGAACTGAAAGTAGGACCTTGAAGCGATCCCTGAACACCATGTTCATAGCAAGCCTTATTCACATTCGCCAAGAGGTGGAGGCAACCCAATGTCTATCACAGATGCGTGATAAGCACATTCTGCCACACAGATGACAAGGACTGTTCCACCATGAAAGCACAGCTGGCCCCGAGGGCATGATGCGAAGTGGACGACACCAGCGGAAAAGGACAAATGCTGCAGGATCCCACTCATATGAGGTCCCTAGCGCCACAGATGGGAAGTAGAATGGGGGTGCCAAGGGCTGCGGAAGGGGGAGGGGGTGAGTGTTGAATGGAGAGAGTTTCAGTCTGGCAAGATGAGAAAGTTCTGGAGGTGACTGGCGGTGGCTGCACAACACTGAGAGTGGACT